CCCGGGGGGGGGGGGCCCCCCGCGAAAAAAAATCCCCCCCCCCCCCCCCCCCCCCCCCTTTCTACACTATTATTTCTGGGCAACCTGCACCACTCCACGCCAGCCCAGGGCTTCCCTGATCTCACCGTGGATTGGATACATGTAGCATGATGAGTAGACTGGGATGTAGAAATAATCTGGCACACAGCAGAAGGATGACGGCACGTGAGCGAGGCGAAGGCGCAGCGCCCTCCCCACCTGTATGGCATGGTGCCAGCCGCTTCCCTGCATGCCCACCACCCGCTCCCCACCCACCCGCTCCCCACCCTGCCCCCCACCCACCTGCCTCCTCCGGATCCAGAGTGCGGTGCTTGCTCTGCAGCAACGCCTCGTGCAGGCCCGTCTCCGCCACTGCAGGCAGGTCCGCTCCAGCAGGGCATGCTCACAAGCCGCAGCAGCAGCGCCGCCACCCGCAGCGCAGCGCGGTGGGCAAGGCAGGGCACATGCCGGTCCAGAGGCGCCAGCAAACACAGGAGCGGGAGCGAGCGGGTGCGGCGGGCAGCTTACGGTAGCCCCCGCTGTCCTCCCAATTTGTGCCGTTGCCGTCGGTGAAAAGGCGGTGCACGCAGGAGCCATGGTCCACTCGGTACTGCAGCAGTACCTGGTTGAAAATGGGCGGCAGCTCATACCTGCATGGCGTGCGGCAGGCGGGACGGGTGGGCGGGCAGGCAGGGAGGGCAGGCGCTGGGCACGGCGGCAAGCTGCTGCTGGGGACGGGGCAAAGCGCGCGGCATGCCGGCCTCGCAGGCCGACCATGCACCCGCACAGCCGGCGGCATGCACAGCACAGGTGCTCCCCAAACAAGGCGCTCACACGTAGATGAGCGGGCGCAGGCGGGTGGCGCCCGGCTCCGGGTCTCTGGAGGCGGGCGTGTCCACAAACTGCTTGGTCCAGGGCCGGTCCCCATCCTCGTAGCCTGCAGACTCGGGAGGTGCGGTGGGTTGGTGCAAAGGCACGCAGGAGGGAGGCGGGGAGGCCAGCCAGGCGGCACACACTGCAATCGATGGGCCGGTCAGCAGGCGTGCCGGGAACCTTGCACGGGTAGAAGCCGCGGCGGCCCCGCTCACCAGGGGTCCACTCGGTGTCATTTGTGCGGTACGCGCAGTCCTGGCCCCACCAGCCCTCGTGACACTTGCAGAAGCCCATGTTGCACTCGCCGTGGCCTGCAGGCGGGCGGGCAGGCAGGCAGGCAGGCAGGCAGGCAGGGTGTGCGAGCAGATGGAGGCTGCTCTGGCATGCTCCTGCTCTGCTATGTCCACGCCACGGCATGTTGCGCTGCCCGCCCTGCTCCCGCGCTGCTGCCCACCATTGCACTGGTTGGCGCAGAAGGCTTCCTTGTACTGGTCGCAGTTCTCCCCAGCATAGCCATCCTGCAGCCGGACCGCATGCGCGGCTCACCAAGCAGCCAGTGGTCGAAGGTGCGGTAGCCAAGAAGCGGCGGGGCGAGCCGCTTCCCATCCCTCTGCCAACCACCACACCACCACCACCACCACACACCGCCAGGCACACCCGCCGAGCCTGCACTGCAAGGCAGCCCTGGGGCACGCCGCCACACCGCGGTGCTCACCAGGATGCAGGGGCACTTGAGGGCGGGGTTGTCGGCGTTGCACCAGCCCTCGGGCCCCCACAGATCTTGAGGGTCCTTGTCTCCCCACCCAAAGGGCAGGCCCTGACCCTGGGGGCCTTTGTTGGGCTGCACGCCGGGGGACGAGATGGAGGGACACAGCCCACAGGCCAACACTGGGTGAAAAGGCGCCGGGTGCCGGCACGAGCGGAGTGTGGCTGCCTGCGCCACCTGTGGCAAGCCCGCCCCACACGCAGCGGCGCCCTCAACACGCACGCACCTGGCAGTGGAAGCCCAGCGGCCGGCCACGCCGTGTGGGCGGGGTGCCTGCATGGCAGCATGCCCGCCGGCAGCAGCGGTGTCAGTCTGCCGTCTGGCATTGCCTCTACCCGCCTCCAGCCAAGCATGTATCGCCAGCAAGCAGGCCACCCCTCCTGCTGCTGCCCTCCTGCACGCTCCAGCCTGGCGGTCGCCCGCTGACCTGGCGGGGCGTCAGGTGGCGCCAGCTCGTGCCCATACTTCATGGTGGAGTTGCAGAAGCAGTAGCCTGCAGCAGCCGCCAGGCAGCAAACAATATTTGATGAGGGAGTGGGCACGCCCTGCAGCTGCTGGCCCCTGCAAGCTCATGCAAAGCGGCCAATGGAAGACGGGTGCTCCTCTCCATGCCCCCCTCCAACCTCTGCCAGCACCCCCGCTTGCCCGCCTGCCAGCACCTCCATCCATGGCCGCACGCCCACCCGCTCACCTATGTCTTCATCACACAGCTGGGCGCAGCGCGAGTTGATCACAATGCCGGGCAGGGAGTAGTCCAGCGGGGCGCTGTGGGGCTCAAAGGAACCCACCTGCCGCTGCACCTGGCTGCATGGCCGCTGCAAGCGGCGGGCCGGGTGGTGGCAGGTGTGGGTGGGTCAGCGTGGGGATGTGGGCGCAGAGACACGCATGGGGGCAGCAGGAGTGCTAGTACACGGCGGCGGCATGGGCAGCCCGCACGGAACGGTCAAAGGGGCTCCTCCAGCTGCTGGAGGCCCTTCCCCACCCGCATGCGCGTGCTGCAGTGGTCGCCCGTCCAGCCGGCCGGGCAGCGGCACCAGCCGCTATAGTGGTCACACACGCCCACAAAATTGCACCTGCGAAGCGAGTCAATCAACGCCAGTGGTGGGCAACACGGTGGGTCAATTGAATGCTATTCATGCAGATCCAGGTACGGCTGGGCAGCCGCAGGAGCATGCAGCAGAGGCGCGGCAGCATGGCCGCTTTCGGCGCCAGCAGCAGCGGCAGGCAGCGCCCGCACCCCCACAGGCACGTCTTGTTGCCGCGGGGCGGCGGCTTGGCGGGTATGGGCGGCTGCAGGAAGTAGCCGCGGCACCAGTTGGCCTTGGTGCCCGCGCAGCGCTCATCTATCTCGGCCTTGGACAGGGTGGGGCCGTCACCACTGGCCCACGCATCCACCCAGAGAGACGTACCGCCCTCCTCGCCGCCGCCGCCGCCGCCGCCCTGGGCGTCCGCTGTGTCCTGCGCTGCTGCCATCGTTTCGGTACCCTGTGCCTGCGCCTGCAGCGCACCAGGCAAACAGGTTTGGCAGCGGCGGTGAGAGCGCTTGGCACCGGCGGTCCAGCCACAACAGAGCGCACCTCATCACCCCGAACTAGGACAGCTGTGGCCGTGCGTTTTCCCATGCGCAGGACGCCCGATTGCCAGACGGCGAATAGGAGCAGCACGGGGAGAAGGAACCGGAGGAGCAGGAAACCGCCCCGCCGGCCCCCAGCTATGTTGAAATTCGACATGTGGTGTGGAAAAAATCAATCGATGGCATGCAGCCGCGTCAGGGCCGCATTGGCAAGTGCCGCCTCCCAGGCTGGCAACAGGCGGCGGTGACGGTGCATATGAGTTAAATAGATGGCCCTGTGCGCTGTGTTGAGTTTGAATTGATCCTGTGACAGGATCATGCTGGGCGGGAGTCCAGGTGGGCTATAGGCACACGAATACTGCTTGGCGGCAGACGACCAACAGGTGGTGGCGGCACTAAGGTGACATCTAGCTGGCCCCATGGCACCGCTCAAAAGATGCCAGGTGGACCCAGTGCATCTGCAATACAAGACAAACACAACAGGCAATGATTGTGTGAAGGCCATCAGCTGCAGGCTCCGGCAATGGGAGGCGGCGGCATCACGCTGGGTGGCGGAGCGCAGCGGCAGCATGCAATGCAAGTGCGTCCTCCTCGTTTCGTTGATGCTTTATTACATCCATCCATCGCCGGGCCAGGCCTGCGTGGGCGTTTGCCTGAGCTTCAGCAGACCGATCGCGCACCAGATGGTCGGCAGTGAGGAGGGGGAGGCGCCTGGCAAGGCGGACAAGCCCGAATTCAAGGCTCCTCCTCCGCGCAAGCCTGTTGCGCCCCCGCCTCGCTTCGCTCCCGAGCCAGAGCGCCAAGCCGAGGCGTCCGCAGCGGCGGAGCAAGCCCCCGCAGCAGCAGCAGCAGCCCAGGGTGGGGAGGCAGGCAGCAATGGGAACCACAGCGGCAGCGGCAGCGCGAGCGCCCCACCACCGCCGCCCAAGTTTTCCGCGCCGCCGACCCGCCAGGCGGGAGCCGCCGCCGCCAAGGCCGCCGCAGATGCCGCAGCCAGGGCCGCCCAGCACGCCACCCCGGCGCAGCGCGAGCGCATGGTCATGGAGGCGGCAGCAAACGTGAGGCGTGCGGTAGCGTTGCTGCTCCTGCAGCCTGGGGAACCTGCCTGCCGAGCATCCCAGGCAATGATGCATCAGCTGCCTGCCTCGCCCGTCCTGAAACTTGCGCATCGCTGATCGCTGGCTGCAGGCCATCGCTGCTAAGCAAGAGCAGCAGGAGCGGGAGTCCGAGGCGGCGGCGAAGCACGCGGCGGCAGTGGCGGCAGGCGAGGATGCTCCACCCCGCCCGCCCGGCTCCTACGAGCTGCCAGACTGGGCCGGCGTGCCCGAGGGGTGAGCTCGACTGCGATGCTCCGCGCGGTTTCCCATACCTGCGCTCCACATGCACGTGCGACATGCGCTCTCATGGCAGCCAGCCTGCCAGCCCGCCAGGCGCGCCTGCTCTGCTTTCTATCCACTGCACACTCGTTTCACGTGTCCCTCCCCTTCTCCGCTTTCCTCCCTGGGTGCTGCAGCATCCCGTACGTGCTGGAGGTCATGAAGGGGGGCGCCATGCTGGATACCGTGCAGCTGGCGGGGAGGGATCACTTCACTCTGGGACGAGCCCCCACCAACGACATAGTCATGGACCACCCCAGCAGCAGCAGGTGCGGCCACCCGCCTGCGCTGCCCGCCCCGCCTGCTGCCATTGCGCAGCCTGGCCTGCTGGTGCACTGGGGGCCATAGAGCATGTGCCTCCACTTCGCTGTCGACCCGCCGGGCAACCAAACCGCACATGCTGCCTCCCAACCAACCCGGCTGGCTCTGCGCTGTGCTCGCCCCGCACTTGCAGGCTGCATGCGGTACTGCAGTTCAGGGGGCGGGACGGCGCCGCCTTCCTGTACGACGTAGCCAGCACCCACGGCAGCTTCCTGAACAAGCAGCGCGTGCCCGCGGGCAAGCACCTGCCGCTGCGGGTGGGCGACCAGCTGCGGTTTGGGGAGAGCAGCCGCACCTACATCCTGGGGGGGCCTGCCGAGCTGATGCCGGATGAGGGGCCCAGCCGGGAGGACCGCATGAAGCAGGCGGCGCTCAAGGTACTGCGGCGGTACCAACAGTAGTGCCTGCTCCCTGGCAGACCTTTCTTTGTCGTGGATGGCGGGTGGCTGCATGGTGCCATCTGCTGGCAACCAGCCGTTCCAGTTGCGCTGCTGCCGCTGCTCCAGCTCTTTGCCGCTTCCCAACGCTGCCGCCGCTGCCTGCAGGCGCTGGCGGAGCGGCGGGAGCGGGAGGAGGCTGTCTCCAAGGCGCAGATGGAGGTGGCGCTGACGGGGGGCGCGTCCTGGGGCTTTGGGGAGGATGCCTTTGACGAGGACGAGGACCGTGAGTGCGCCAGCCTGGCGCCACCTGGCGGCTCCGAAACCAGCAGCTGTACCCGACCGCTATGGTGTTGTGCTTGCGACTCCGTGGCAGGCCGCTGCTTGCCTCCTCCCTGTTCTCTGGCTCCTTAACCACGTACCTTCTTACCTTCTTCCGTGTGGTCTCCCGCAGTGGAGGACGTGGACTGGCGCACGTACGCCGCCACCAAGGGCCTCAGCGAGAAGCAGCAGAAGGTGGCGGACAAGATCCGCAAGCACGAGGTCCGCATCCAGAACCTGCAGCGGGAGAACGAGAAGATCAAGGTGTGTGTGTGTGTGTGTGTGTGTGTCTCACAGTGTGCGGTGGTGATGTGTGTGGCGGAGGAGGTGAAGGGCGGCTTGGTGCGCTGCGCTGTGCTGCACTGCTCTGCACACTGGGGCCTGCTGTGGTTGACCTGGCGGTTGGTTTGGTTGGTTGCCGGCTGGGGGCAGTGTTGCCTGGGCAGAATTGTGCTCGCCTGACACTCGGGTTCATTCCTAGGCTGGCACGCCTGCTGATGGCTGCCTGCCTGCCCACCGCTGTTGGCTGCCTGGTGCCACCGCAGGCCAAGGAACAGAACATGGATGAGCTGTCGGCGGGGCAGGCCTCCACCCTGGTCAGGTGGGTGTTTAGCAGTTCTGTGTTTGTTGGGGATGGAAAGCACTCAGGGCTGGTCACGACCGCCGGCCACAGCGCCTGGCGGCCTGCTGTCCTGCTGGCAGTCCCGTGCACCTGAGCACGTTGTCTGCTGGTTGGCCGGGTGGGTTGCCTCAGGAATGAGCAGGCTATTGACAAGTCGATGGCGGAGCTGGAGGAGCTGGAGGAGCAGCTGGCAGACTCCATCAGGTGCGGTACATGGCGGTACGGTGCAGGGTGCAGTGCAGGGGCGGTTGATGGACGGCTCAGGGCGGTACCCTCGACTCCCGTTGCGGAGGCGGCTCGGGTGCCCTCCACAATAAACAGGTCGGCTTGCTTGAACGATCTCGCACTTGGTGTTGCAGGAACGCGGTTGGGCAGCGAAAGGCAGCTGCGGAGAAGGCGGCGTCGGGCCAGGGCAAGAAGAAGAAGCGGCGGCGGGACTCCGATGACGAGTACGAGGGTGAGTGGGCATGCGCCAGCAGGGTGGCTGGAGAAGGCACCAGCGGGCGTACCGGGGACTGCCCGGTGGCGCCCTCCAGCCACCGGGCCCTAACGCTGTTGGAATCAGCGAACCTTTACCTTCCCGTCCTGCAGCAGCAAGCATGTAATGGATTCACTGCACCTGCGTGATTGCAGGCAGCAGCGACGACGACGCCTTTTACGATCGCACTGCCAAGGGCGGGCAGGGCCACGGCGGCGCAGGCGGCGGCAAGCGGGGCAAGGCCGCCACTGGCGCACCGCAGGAGGTGAGCGCAGCTGGACCATGAGCTGTGTTGGGCGGCAACCTTCAGGCCTGCTCGGTTCCTGTTGAGTGGTTGCAGGCCTGGCTGCTGACGCTTTCCTCCGCTCCAGCTGCTTCTCTACTACTGCCTGCCTGCTCTGCAGGTGGAGGATGCGGCGTCCCTTTGGGGTGAGCCACCAACGCCAGTTCAACTCAATAGCATGCTAGGCGGCCTGCTTGCCTCCTGCAGCCAGCAGGGAGCTTGGCAGGACGCTTGGCTGCCGCAGCCAGCGGCATGCTTGCCAGCAGGCACTGCCAGGTAGCAAACCGCCATCGCAACTGCTGCTATCTTGCTGGCGCCCTGCAGGCAAGAAGGAGGCTTTTCAGGAGGAGCGGCAACGCCTGCTGGAGGAGCTGAAACAGGAGGAGGCGGTGGCAGCGGTGGTGGGCCCTGGCGGGGCTGCCGCTGGGGGAGCTGCAGCTGCGGCACAGGAGGATTCTCTCGATGCCTTCATGTCTGGTAGGCAGGGCTGCTGCCAGTGAGGGCGGAGCGGCAGCTTGTGAACCTTCCGTACTCAGTAACTTCAGTGGTTGAAGCTGTTTGCTGCATCCTTCTTGTGCTGCTTCTTGCTTGCCACACGCTGTATGCGCGCTGGTGCTTGCTTCCGCTGACCTCCCATGTGCCCGTCTGCTGCAGATGTGGCAGTGCAGCTGGAGAGCGACAAGGTGGCGGCGGTGAAGAAGGAACTCGCTGACGTGGACGCCCAGCTGGCGCGCTGCGAGCGGCTGCTCAAGATCGCCGACCCAGACGGATATTTCAAGGCCGGATCCAAGGCGGTGGTGGCTGCTGCGGAGCGTGCCAAGAAGCACTTGGCGCTGGAGAAGCAGCGGAGGGAGGCGGAGGAGCGCCAGCGCCAGCAGCGGCAGAAGGAGCGGCAGAAGGAGGAGCAAGCGTTTGTGCCGGAGGAGGAAGAAGAGGAGGAGGAGCAGGATGAGAAGCGGCTGGCGGCGGCGGCGGCCACCAAGGCCGCCAATGAGGTGATTCGGGCCAAGGCTGTGGCTAGCACACACAAGCTGGAGGCTGAGGAGAGTCAGGTGGGCGGGCTGCAGCTGCGGCAGCGCCCGCAGCCGCCTGCAGCAGCGCCAGCAGCAGCCCGGCAGGCGGCAGCACCTGCTGTGGGCGCACAGCAGGCGGCGGCGACCGCGGCGGCACCAGAAGAAAGCAACTTTGAGCGGCGGCGCAAGATGATTGCTGCGGCGCTGGCAAAGCAGAAGGAGGCCTCGGCCGAGAAGGGCACCGCTGATGCAGCGGCTGCGACAGCGGCAGCGGCAGCCGGCGACAGCGGGCCGCCGGATGCCGCCTCCAAGGTCCTTGCTGACCTGGCACTGCTGTCGCGGGCCAGGCACGGCGTGGCGGCAGAGGAGGAGGAGGACGAGGCGGCGCAGGAGCGGCAGCGGGTGCAGTGGGAGGCGCAGCGCAAGCAGCGCAAGCAGCAGCAGCAGGGTGGCGGCAGCGGCGGCGGGGAGGCTGCTGAGGAGTGGCAGCCGCCGCAGGACCAGTTGGGCGATGGGCGCACAGCTCTCAACGACCGCCTCGGGTATTGAATGGCTGTGACGTGCTGCACCTTCGACATGGGGTGCTGCCCTTTCTGTTGCTCTCAACATGCGCTGAACAAGTTGTTGGCTGTTGACCATTCCAATCAGTGATCGGTTTACAGGCCAAGGGTTGAGAATGTGTGTGCGTGCGCAAGCTTGAGGGCAGCCACCAGCAGGACCGCCAGGTCGGCGCCGCCAGGTCAGCGCCACCAGGTGGCACCATCACTGCGCCTCCTGCCGCTTGCCCAGGTCCTCCTTCTCTAGGTCCAGCGGTTTGCCTGCGGGAGGTGGGTGGGCACAGGCGACACGTGGCACGCGCTCGTCGCTGCCACAACCCCACCAGCTGCTCAGAGGAACCACAGCCTTCAGGGCAGGCCACCTACCGGTGATGCGCTGGTACAGGTCCAGCACGTCGTGGATCTCAGTCTCAAAGTGGCTGGTGGCGTCGTAGCCCTGCACCCATGGTGGTGGTGGTGAGGGGTAGGCTGAGGGCAGGGCCGGGCAGCGCCAAGCAGAGGAGCGCTGGGGAACGGCGGCAGCTGGCGGCTGGAGCAGCATGGGGCCGCCGCAGGAGGGAGCTAGAGTGCCAGCTCGGCAGCCCCTTGGCCCACGCCTTGAATCGGCAGCGGGTTTGACAGGCGCAGGGCAGCGCGGTGCCGGCGCGGCAGGCGCGGCCGCCGGGCCCAGCAGCCAGCCCCCGCAGCTGTCGCTGCTCCAGACGCCCCACCCACCTTTGAGATGAAGGCCTTGTCGGCGCTGCCATCCCCCAGCGGCTCAAACACATCCACCACCTCGACAAACTTTTCGTCGATGCGCCCCAGCAGCTGCAGGCCTGCCGGGAGCAGCCAGGGGAAGGCAGCAGGTGGTGGTGGTCAGGTCAGGGAGGTGGGAGGGGAGCGAAGGTGAGGGAGGGGGTGATAGGATGTGGAGAGGCGGCTACGGTGATGGTGGCAGATGAGGTGGCGCGCCCGGTACGGCAGCGCTGTGTGTGTGCGTGCGAGACTGGCTGGCCACGCCGCCGCGGCGCTGCACCGGGTGCGGGAGGCGGGCAGGCGCCGCCTCGTCCCAGCTCTGCCCGGCCCAGCCGGCCGGCCTGGGCGCCACGCCCACCTGGCGCCAGCTCGCTGGCGGGGTCGCTGGTCTCGACGGTGGTGGACACAAAGGCGATCCACTTGTCCCGAGGGGCCACGTTGTGGGAGTAGGAGCAGCAGAAGACGTAGATGTCTGCGGTGGGGCGGGGTGGGGTGGGGCAGGGCGGGGTGGGGAGGAGCGAGTGCATGAACTGGTGCAGGGAGGGTGGCGAGGGATGATTCCCGAACGAAGCTGGAAAGGGCCTGGGCGAGGTCCAGGGCAGAGCGGAAGAGGCAGGGAGGGAAGGAGGCAGGGCACCAGGCGCCCGCAGGGCAGCTCACCGTGGCGCCGGTTGAGCTGCTTCTGTGGCAGGATGATCTGCACGCTGTGGCTGTCGTTGGTGGAGGGGATGGGGTGGCTGAGGATGCACATCGCCCGCACCACGCGCGCCGATTTGCGGACCTGCGGTACGCAGGCGGGACGGCGGCAGGGAAGACGCGCGCAGGGGGTTCGAGCCAGCTGCAGCACCTCCCTGCCAGGCTGTCCGCCCTGCTCTCCCGCGCATCCAGCAGCCCACCTCGCCCCCGCCCACGTGCAATGCGCCCTAAACCCCACCCACGCTGCACACAGCATGCACCCCATCCACCCGCCCCACCCCTGCCACCCACCTTGTCCGGGAAGTAGGTGGGGTCCCCCACCACAAACTTGGCCCGCGCCGTCTCTCCCTCGCTGCTCACCCCCACCGCCGCCCCTGCCTCATCATACACCACCTCCACATCGGGCTTGGCCAGCATGTACGTGCCGCCATACACGGCAGACAGCCGCGCAAAGGCCTGCAGGGGGTTGGGGGTGGGGTGGGAGTGGAAGTGGGTTGGGTGGAAGGGGCGGGGATGCCACGACGGCTCGCGTGGGAAGCCGGACCAATCCAGCACTGCCCCACGCCCTCCCTCCCCGCCCAACCACAAGCACACCACCCAGCCAAAGCCAGCGCACCTGCGGCAGCTCTCCCAGGCCGTAGAGAGGGTAGATGTAGGGTGAGGTGAGGCCCTCATACCTGCAAGCAGCGCAGCCGCAGCACGGCACACTTGTCTGCAACGGTGGGCCCATCAGAGCACGGCACAGCCTGGCGCCTTGGCACTGCGCCGCCACCTCCACAGCAGCCCTGCCGGTCACGCGCGGCTCGCCGCCAGCTCAGCAGCCGCCAGCTCAGCGCCCACCAACCGCATCATGCTGTCGTAGTACAGCTTGATCTTCTGCACAGTGCCCATGGCCGGCTGCGGGAGGGAGGGAAGGGGAGGCAGGGAGGCTGGACCGACGGGCTTCGGAGCGCAGGCGCGCCCATCCTTCACCACCTGCCTCCCAGGCAAGGGGGACCCCACCCGGCCACCAGCGAGCCCACCCCAAGCCACTCCCACCAGACCACCCCACCTCCAACCAGCCCAACAACCAGCCGGCTAACAGCCCCCCAGCCACGCAGGCACCCCCTCCCACCCCCAGTCAGCTCACGGCTGCCCCACCTGCATCATGTAGGCGTCGTTCTGGTGCAGGGCGATGGCGTGGCCGATGAAGTCGATGGTCATGGCATCCAGGCCAAACTGCGCGTACAGCTCGTGCATGGTCATGCGCGACAGGTCCCAGTTGCGCCAGGTCTGCGGTACAACGGAGCGGCACAATGAGGCAGTACACATCGTTGGGCTGTGCATCGAGGCAGGTTAAGGTGTGGCGCAGGGAGGCGGGATGAGGTGCCAGGGGCGCCAGGCGGCGCCGCCCCAGGTAGCTGCGGGGCGTGCGTGTTGAGCTGCTCCCCTAGGGCTCCCCCCAATCGTATCGCCCACCGTACCTGCGGGTTGCGCTCGTCGTACTGCTGGCAGAAGGAGAAGAACTTGGCGGCGCGCCGCTTCTCAAACAGGCCCATCAGCGGACTCTTCAGCGCCTCCCAGTCGGTGGCGGGCACCTGTGGGGCAGGGGGCGGCAGTGCTGGCAGCGGGGGTGGGAACGGCATGCCGATTGCGACAGGGAGGGGGTACCGCATCTCTGCTGCCGACCCGCAAGTGCCCCACCACAGCAGCAGGCGGCTGCGCCGTCGCCGCTCCCCTCCCAACACACTCATACAAACGCCCCAGCACGACTCCCGCAAGGCATGCTGTGTGGGGCGCCCACTCCCACCCGCCACCGCACACGCACACACCCCACACGCACGCACCTTCTGCACTTGCGCCTTGTTCAGCACATACGACCCGTCCACCGCCTTAAACTCCAAGTATTTGGTCACGTCGGTGTGCACCAGCACACGTACCAGGTTTCCATTGGCCTGCGGGATGCAGAGGGGCAGGCGCACACAGGTGGTGGCAGCAGGCAGGGGGCAGTTGGCAGCGGTCGGAGGCTGGCAGGCGGCAGGTGGCGGGTGGAGGGGCGGGGCAGGGGGCAGGAGCGAGCAGCGCCTGCTGCGCCTGCTGCGTGAGGAGCGGGCTTCACCCCTTGACCTCAGCTGGCAGCGGGTGGCGCGGCCAGCCGGCCAGCCGCGTCACCCCAGCCCAGCCCAGCCCAGCCCAGCCCAGCCCACCCTCCTTTCCTCCTTTCCTCCCTCACCATGATGAATTTAGGAACCAGATCCACGTTGTAATCCCGGCTGGGCCCCAGCTCCGCAGGCGGCTTCTGGCCGGGCCGGAAGCGCTCGAAGAGCTGCAGGCAACGGGGCAGGGCAGGGGCGCCCCGTGGGTGGCTGCCTGCACGCGACGCCTGTGCGCGGCGGCGCCGGCGCCGGCAGCTTCCACGGGTGGCGTGCGTCGCGGCAGCGGGCAGGGGCTCGAGGGGTCGGGAGTGGCGGCGGCGGCCTGGACAACCCGACGGCGCGTCGCCACACGCAGCTGCCTGCCAGGAGCGCCGCCTTGCGCAGCACCCACCTGGTTGAGGTTGAGGGAGGCCGACTGGCCGCCATAGTAGTTGTTTCTGTCGATGTGCAGCACCTGCACAGCAGCTTTGGAGGAGCGGGGTGGGCGCAGAGGCCGCAGGCACACAGGGAGGCAGGCAGAAACTAAAGCAGCAGTCGGGAGCGCAGCGGTGGCGCCCCACACGTGACAGGGGGAGCTAGCTTCCTCACCTTCAAGCCGTCTACTGACAGCAGCCCCGAAATGATGCACTCCTTGAGCCCCGTGCCCAGCACGATGGCATCGTACGTTTCATCCATGCTGGCAGAAGGTCACGGACCAGAGGGGATGATGGCCTGCAAGGGGACGAGCGATGACGTCGGGGAGACGTGCGGCAGTGAAAGCGGCTGCAGGTGGCGGCGGCAGCGACACATGGGCGACAGCGGCCTGCAGGCCGGACCCATCCCACCGTCCTCATCTTGCTGCCACCATCAGCTCCTCGTCCAGGAGCCCCGCTGTTTGCAGGCAGTGGAGAGGCGCGACACCCCAACCCCACGGCCTGTCCCCCTTCCGGGCTGCCTCGCCGGCCAGCCAGCCAGCAGGAGCTGCATACCTTTGTGTGGTGCTGCCTGGGTGGAAGCTCGCTGACTCTGAGGGATCTTCCAGACCGAGGGAGGGTCTGGCCAAAAGATCGCGTGCAGGGAGGACGTCAGGCACCCTGATAGCACGCCCGGCGATCAGAAGATCGGCGTTAGGCCTGCTTGCGGCATGGCAACTTTGCCAGCGAGGCAGCGGCAGGCTGGAGGCTACCCCACACCTTCGGCGATCCAGCGGTCTGTGGCATATCGTAGCAGCACTGTGGTAGGGCAGACAGCATATCCTCGGGCCGTTGGGGACCAATCGAGGCCGCCAATTTCGAGCCGACAATTCGAGCACCTGCGCATCCTGTATTGTCCTAGGCCCCTCCCTGCAGCCCCTGGAGCATGGCAGCCGCTCTGATCCCTCTGGGGCTGGCGGGCAGCGCCGCCCTGCCCTCCCGCCGCACCTTCCCGGGGGTGGCGCCGCAGGCGGCGGCGGCACGGCGGCCCCGCTGCAGGCCCTCCCGCCTGCGCGTGGCAGCGGGCAGGCGCCTCAGCGAGGCAGACCTGTACCAGGGCATTGCCCCCGCGGGACAGGTGGCGCCGCAGCCCGCAGGGCAGCCCTGGTACATCACAGGCGCGCTGGCCTTCCTGGGCATCATCGCAGCACTGCGGGCGGCCAAGGCGCTGAAGAAGAACATGTGAGCTTGGCTGGGCGCTCCAGCGCCTTCATTGTTCGTTTTTTTTTGTTCTTCTCTTGTTATCCTCCCTGGCTGAGGCTGCCATCAACTCCAAAGGTGGCAAGCGGGACAGAGCCGCTCCGTTCAGCCCCCCATGCTCCTCTACTCCAACTGCCCTCCTGCTGCTGCTCTGCGCCGCAGGTCGGGCGGCAACAGGCTGGAGGAGCGGGGGTTCAAGCGCGGTGGCGTGGCTGACGATCGCGCCTACACAGGTGGGCGGCGGCCAAGCGGGACGGTACCTGCTGACTGCGCCGCCCTCCCCGCAGAGTGCTGCCTTGGCTGCACTGCGCTGCGCACTGCACTCCATCAGCATGCTCCCTTGTAAGGCTCAACAGTCGTCTGCAAGCTCATGCTGTTGTTGCTGTGTGTGTACATCTGGCTGACGCGCGTGCTCACCTGGAAGCATGTGCTGGCCCCGGCCGCCGCCGCCGCCGCCTGCAGCCGCCATCCGAGGCATGCGCAAGATGCAGTATGAGGAGCTCAGCGACGAGGCGATCCAGGCGGCGAGGCGGCGGCGGCAGCGCGAGGTGGAAAGGCGAGCGTGGGGTGTTCCCGGGGGTCGCAGCGGGGCCTCGCTGCTGGCAGGCTGGGAGGCGGCGCGCAGGCGTGTGTGCGCGCGCCCTGCCGTGCTTACGAGGCTCTACCGCTGCCGCTGCTGCTGCAGGGACATGGCGCCTCTGGACCTGGAGTCGATTGAGCTGCCTGAGAACCACCCGTTTGCAGTGAGGAAGAGCCTGGCGCCAGGTCAGCACGCAGAAATGTGGCATGCCGTGCGTTTTGGCTTAACTAGGCGCTTTGCTGCTTTTGGTTTTGGCTGGTTGGCTGCTTGATGCATTGGATTGGTTGGTCGATGCTGCTGTGCGCTGTGCGTGGGCTGCACGCCTGCTGCGGCGCCCAGGTGAACGATCGGTGCATGGGATGACGTGCCGCCTGGCTGCCTGGCTCCCTCCCCGGCTTCAGAGGAGGAAGCGCTGCAGCGCAGCCGCATGTCGGCGCGGCGGGGGCTGTCTCCTGAGGACATGCAGCGGCTGCGGGAGCAGCAGGCGCTGGCAGACCAGGCAAGCTGCTGCTGCTGCTGCCGCCGCTGCTGCTACTGCTGCTGCTGCTGCTGCCGCTGCTGCCGCTGCCGCGACGCTGCTGCTGTCAAGTCTGGGGCTGCCTGCGCAACGCAGGGGCATCTGCAACCCCTGTGCAGCTACTGCATGCTGCCCCAGGATGCCAGCCAGCCCGCATACTGCCCTCCCTGCCTGCACCCCCGCCTTGTGCAGATGGATGCTGAGGAGGAGGCACGGCAGGCGGCCCGGCGGCGGCAGGCGGGCCGGTGACGATGTGCATTGCATGCAAGGGATCCGTGCAGCTCCGACGGACTTTCTACCACACCAGCGGCACCCTCTGGCGGCGGTGCCGCAGCGTTACCAATTGAGTTCTGCACATGGGCGGCTGCGCTTGCTGCCAAGCCGCCGCTTTCTCCACCCTCTGGGCCCCACGCCTTTCTGTTCAGCACTAGCGGGAGCCTCTGGCCCTGGCCCTCCCCTTCTCCCTTGCTGCTCGCCGTTCCAATGCTCTGTTTTTTTCGTCCTGCAAACCGGCTCTGAGAAGCCGTCGAATGCTACAGAGAGGGGGCGGAACTGGAAGGAACAGGATCCAGATGTTCTCTGGATCACGATGTGAAGCCCACCCGCTCTCGCCCCCCTTGTGGTCTGCTTCCACGACGCGAGCAGGGCTAGTGTACACTCAACGCACGGGCTGGACAGAACAATGGGAAAATGGCAGGTCATGTAGTGTACACGGGGAGTGCTGCCTGCAGAGTTGGAGACAGATGGGCTACCGCAATGGCGGTTGGCAAACAGGCAGAGGCGCCCGGTATCCTGAAGCGGCGGGCACGCGACACAATGGGTGCAGGCCAGCAACAACAAACAGGTGGAAACAGTGGTGTGCGAGACGCAATGTACAACTCTGTGATGACGGATGGAGCGGTGGAATGAAATTGAAACTTGCAAGTGCCATCGCACAATCCTGGCTACCCAGCCGCTCCCATGAGGAGACGGGGGAAGGTGTGCCCGTGGGTATGCGTGGCGTGCGAGGCGCCGGCTGCTCACTCCAGCTGAAACATGGACGGCTCGCCCTCGCCGCCCTCGCCCTGCCCGCCGGCCCCCACCAGCACAGCGGGCCCATCGTGCTTCACGCCGGCGCCGGGCAGGCCGCCGTGGCCGCCATCGGCCGCCTCCGCGGCTGCTTGGTCGACGCCTGCGGTGCCCGCCTCGTCCCCGGTGCCGCCCCCGCCACGGTGGTGCAGGAGGCGGCTGGGAAGGATGTGCATGGGGGTACCAAACGGCGTGTCTGCGGCGCTGCTGCCACAGCTGTCGATGGTGTTGCCCCCCGCAGGGTGGGCGGTCGGCGGCGGAGTGCAAGGGATGGCTGCAGCGGGGGACGCCGGGCCCTTGGCGGTTGGCTGGCCTGCGCTGCCATCTGCGCTAGCATCCGGGGCGCCATCTGCTGCAGGCGGCTCTGCGGCAGCAGCGGCAGGCTGCGAGTCGGCCAGCTTGGGCCCGGCGCCACCGGCCTTGCCGCCCGTCTGCGGCCTGTGCAGGCGGCGCCGCAGCAGGGACAGCACGGCAGACCTGTGCTGCTGCATGGCAGCCGCCGCCGCCGCGCTGGCCGCCGCGCTCGCACCCGCAGCCGCGCCGCCGGCCGCGTCGCCGCCCTCTCCAGCAGCCGCCGCCTCCTCGGGTTGGCCGCTGCCGCCAGGCTGCCGCTCTGCATTGCTGCCGGCAGCTGCGCTGCTCACGCCGCTGCTGCCGCCATCGGCGCGGCGCTCCTCCACGCTGCTGCCGTCCCCCCACGAGTCCAGGTTCTCCACATCAGTGCTGCCCATCATTGCGCTGCGGGTGGCCACAATGTCCCGTACAAACGCCGCGGGAAGTGGGCCCACGGTGATGGTAGTGACCTGCAAATACAAGACAGGCAGCGGCAGCAGCGGGGCCAGCTGGGGGTGAGAAGTGTGGTGGACCGAGGCGCCGCCCCCACGGATCTGAATGCAGGTGGCTCCGTGAGCAGCAGCACAGCTGCAGGAAGAAAACGTGTTGCCGTGCAGAGCAGAAGAGCGGGTCGGGCAAGCACGGGGGCAGGGCAGGGAAGGGCAGGGCACAAGCAAGCAGGCGCCGCACCTGGATGGCGCCAGACTTGACGTCGCGGCGCAGGCGGCGCAGGTCCACAGCCGGCGGGCCGCGGAGCAGGCTCAGCAGCGCACCGGCCAGCTTCTCTGCCGCGCACCCCGCCTGCTGTGCCTGCTCGGCTGCCTCCTCGTCCTGCCGCTGCTCTGGGCAGGCGGACGCCGGCGGTGGCGCCGAGGGGGCGTCAGCTGCTGGCGGCGGCGGCGGCGGCGCTGCAGGGCTGCTGGAGGCGGTGCCGTAGGCTGGCAGCTGCAGGCTGGTGGGGCCCAGCCCCTGCTGCAGCCAAAAGGCAGCTGCCGGCCGAGGCGGCCGGTGCCGTCCCTGCCTGGCAGCGGGCGTCACCAGGACCACCTGCGCCCCGTTGGGGAGCTGCCTGGCCTCCACAGCCGCAGGCGGCGCCGTTGCGGCGCCAGCCAGTGCTGCCGCCACGCCGCCGACGGCTGCTGCTGGCTGCGTGGGCAGGGGCAGCTCCCAGTCCCACTCTGCCGCCGTCTCCCAGAGCTCACAGCCCTCGTGCACCAGCGGACCTCGCGCCGCCGAGGCTGCCACCGCAGAGGCGGGCATGTAGCCTAGCAGCGCAGCATGCGCAGCGCTGCTGCCGCCGCCGGCGGCTGCCCCCTCGCCAAACATGTCTAGTGGCTGCTGCTGGCCGGCAGGCGCCGGTACGCCTGGCGCTGCCTCGGGGTCTGGAGACCACACCAGCTTGAGCAGCTCGGGCTCTTTGGGAGCCTGAAGCAGGCGCAGCGTGCCGCGCCGCGCGTCGGGCCGGTACTGCACAGCCGCCGCGCGGCTGCCGGCCGCCGCGCCGCCCTCGCCGCTCGCCCTCCTGCTGGCGGCCTCGCCGCTGCCGCCGGTGTCGCTGCTGCCGCTGCTGGAGGCGCCGCGCTGCTCCCCCTCCTCCTCCTCCTCTTCCAGCACACTCAGCGCATCCAGAGAGTGCAGCAGCTCAGAGGAGGCGGTGGCATACCAGCTGGAGCCCGACCCCGCAGCCAGCATGCGCCCCGCAGCCACCTTGAGCAGCGTGCGCCACTTGGGGATGGGCTGCACCTCCACATACACCATGCCGGCAGCCGCGTCTGCGCCGGCGCCGCCGCCGCCGGCGTCGCCGCCGCCCGCGGCAGCCGCGCGCGCCTGCTGGCCCAGAGACGAGTAGGTGGGCAGCCAGGGGCGCACCATGCCGTCAGACGACAGGTGGCCAAGCCTGCTCAGCGACTCGCCCCTGCACATCATGCGCGGCACATGCCAGGGCAGCACAGCACAGGAACAGTCAGTCTCTGTCCCTGACAGCAGGCGCCAAGCTCTAAGCCTGACAGCATGCCCGCTCGCAGCGCAAAGGCCTCAGCAGGCAGCGCCGCCCCGCCCACCTGCACAGCGCGGGCTGCTGCACGCCGCTGCGCAGCGCCAGCAGCGGCGCGCGCGGGTGGCGCAGCGGGTCGAACGCGCGCGGGGCGCGGCTGATGCGCTGCGGCAGCGCGGCCGTGGCGCGCCCCAGGGCACCCGCCGCGCCGAGGCCGCGGCTGCGGCCCCGCTCGCTGGTGCCGCCACGGCGCTGCCCCTCCAGCAGCTCCAGAGCGGGCTCCACCTGCTGCCAGCTCTCCACAGCAGCCTCCACCGGCGCCAGCCACACCAGCCTGCTGGCGGGAGCGGCATCCATGCCGGTGCCACCGGCATGCTCGCTGCTGCTGCTGCTGCTGCTGCTGCTGCCGCCGCCAGTCAGCGCCTCCAGGGCTTCCGCGCCGCCGGCGCCCAGCTCCTCCCTAGGGCACAGGATTGCAACGTCCAAGGTGATGCCAGCTGCGCTGTAGCGCTGCTGCAGCTCTGCCGCCGCCGCCGTTGGGTGGTCTGCACACAGCCCTGCTGCTGCCCCGGAGCTGGCGACAAAGGCGGTGACGTGGGTGCTGCCTGGCGGGAAGCAGCGGCTCACCAGCTGCAGGCATGGACCAGAGGTAGGGGCGTGGGAAAGGGAGGGTGGGAGCGTGGGCACATGCGGCACATCCCACCAATCGCACAGCGCGACACGGCTTGTGGCACTGCCAGATCAGGTCGCACATCCACGGCAGCAATAGATGACAAAGGAAGAGGCAGGCTCAGGCGCATACTCAGGCGCAGGCAGGTAACAGCAGCAGCACCCACCAGGGCCAGCTTCAATGCCGCCTCGAGGTTGGCTTCCCCGTCGGGCCGCACCCCTGCCAGGGCCTGCTGCAACGCCGCCGCCTCGGGGCTCGGGTGCAGCGCCACGGCTGCCTTGCCTCCGCTGCTGGTGATCAGCACCACCTGCTGCTGCTGCTCCCCGCCCCTGGCGCCGTGGGGCAGCTCCAGGAAGCGGCGACGCCCGCTGTCCGACAGGCAGGCTCGGGACTGGCAGGCGATGAGCTCCCGCTGGAAGTGAAAGCGCGTGGTGCCTGGGCCCCAGTCCTCTGACAGCAGGCTGCAGGCGCTGGCGTCCAAGCTGCAGGCAGAGCAGGGGAGGGGCACGGGACTTGTGACGGCCGGCGCCGGCGGCAGCTGTGCCGGCTACTGTGGGCGGGCAGCCGGGCGGGCCGGTGCAGCCACCCGGGTGAGCTGCGGCGCCGCCATCATGAGATTGCGACGGTCTGGCGGGCCGCAGGGGCTCTGAATCGAGGCCCGGTTGGCCGAGTCAACAACACGGGCACGGGGGCACCGCGGCAGCCGCTAAACCCCTCCATACGCCTCGGGGTGTGATCGAAGACGCAGCCCGCTCACCAATAGACCTGGGCGCCCATTGCAGCGGTGTTTCCCAGCCGGTGTGCGCCCCCGCTACCGCCTTGGCTAGTGCTCTGGCTCGCCCAAATGCCAGGCAGCGCTCCAGAAAGGTCTTGCTGGCGGGGTTGCGGGAGTCACTCGCGGAGAACCGTCCACGAGGCAAAGAGCGAGCTGGGCAATGATTCAAGCTTGAATGGTGCGCAGATGGAAACAAAAGTGGCTGAATCGAGGAGAGCGAAGTGGGATGTGGGTGCCCGCTGCGCCTGCTCAGCAGGCCGCCGTCGACAACTCCGCCCATACATCCAGGGTCAGGGGTAGAGGTTACTGTGAAAACAACAGACAGAAGTGTCGGAGGCGCATTGCACAGGCTCATGACTGGGATGAAATGCATATGATAAAAACTCGGGCGGCAGTAATGCGCCGTACAGCGCCGCCCGACGAAGAGACAATGCCGGTAAAAGAGTCAGAAAAAGTTGAAAAGAGAAGCTCGGAAGTAGACTGGAATGATAAGGGAAGCAATTGTGTGAAAAAATATTTGAAAAAGACAGCAATTCAGGGAAGAGCATTGGATGGCTGCGGGGGCCTGGCCGGAACGGGCACGAGACACGCTTTCTCGCTTGTTTTGCTATCCTTTATTTGTCACGGCTGTTGCACAGCCCCTCCAGCTGGATCATGAGCTGCTGTGCGGTGGGGCGCTCCGCAGGCTCCAGGGACATGCAGAGGACAATCAGGTCCGCCACCTACTGCAGGCACGTCTCAAGCCCAACCATGTCAGGGTTGACAGGGTGTACAGCTGCGCTCGGTGCTTACCCCAGCTTGCGCACGGCGGTCCCCTCGCCCACCCACCTGCGGGCACTCCTCAGGCACCGCCGGCATCCTCATCTCTCTGCGGTACGGCCGCTGCCCTGTGGCGATCTCCCACAGCACCTACACGCCCAGGTAGCAGGGCAGTGCCAGATGGGGCGCAGGCAGGGCAGGGTGGCAGGCAGGGCGGCCGCGCGCATGCCGCGCGCATGCGTGTGTAGCCAGCGCATGCAGCTCAAGCTGCACACAGCCAGCTCACCACGCCGAACGAGTAGATGTCCACAGCCGAGGTGCAGCGCCGGCCTGTGATGACCTCGGGCGCCATCCTGCGCGCCAGGGCCCGGCAGGAACAATGTGAGGAAGAATGTGGGCAGTGCTTGGTACGGCCTGCAACTCGGAGGGGCGAGCAGCTCAAGGGGACTTGACCCGGCAGCCGCACCCCCGCAGCCTGGCCCCGGGGCGCACCAGGAAAACGTGCCGACCGCGGTGGGGAGCTCCGACAAATAGGTGGCATGGCGCAGGCGGGCCACCCCCACGTCTGCGACCTTGGCGGTGCCGGTCCCGGTCAGCAGCACGTTGGCGGACTTGAGGTCCATGTGGACCACGCGCTGCGGCGCAGCAGGGCCGAGGAGGCGAGCAAGGTGGGTGCCACCCAGAGAGAGCTTGATTGGCACCTTGGCCCACAGGCGGCAGAGCCCCGGCAGCAGCACCAGCACAGGTGCCTCAACCCACCTTAGAGTGCAGGAAGTTGAGTGCCTTGCAGATGTCGAGAGCCACGTAGCAGCCGCGGGCATACCTGCAGCCAAGCCGGGGCAGGACAGCAGCCGCAGCCAGGTGTTCACATGGTGCACGCAAAACATGGAAGGGAACCCCAGCCTGGGGTTGCATGCCTGGCATGCCTGAGGCATGCCATGCACGTGCTCGGCCCCTTTCAAACGCCAGCCAGGCCTTGGCCATGCTGGTACACCCACCTACCCCCGGCCATCCCGCCCCTGCTCACCATCCAAACAGCCTATTGTTACTGTTCGCCTTCCTCAGCTGCAGCGCGCTGTGCAGGTCCCGCCCCGAGCAATACTCAGTGATTAGCACGCCCTGCGGCCCGCTCAGAGCGACGCCGTATAGCGCCACCACGTGCGCGTGGCGCAGCTGGTGCAGCCGCTCCGCCTCCTGCAGCCGCAGCCGGCTCGGCAAGCGCAGGTCAGCGCGGCGCAGGCAGGGTGCGTGCACACCCAAAGAGCGGCGATGCTGCGCTGCAAGACCTCTGGCGCACAAACCCCACGCCGGCCAGCCCACCCCCCTTGCACCTCTGCACTCTCTGCCCCACGGCGCCACCCCTAGCTGCGCCACTGCACGGCGCCTACCGTGACAAACAGCTCCTGCACCGCGGCGCTCCGCCCGAGGTCCACTTCCTTTGCCGCCACCATCTCTCCCCGGAACGTGGCCTTGAACACAATGGCTGCAAGCAGGGACGGAATCGGCAGGCTGGCTGGGAAGGCGGGAGGGCACTTCCCGCCCAGGGCGGAGCCAGGCTGCACAGGGCAGGGCTGCATGCAGCGGGGCAGCGAGCCTCCTGGCCCTGCGATTCTCCACATGCCCACCCGCCTACCTGGAGACGCCTGCGCTGGGAAACCCGCTGCACATGACCGTTGCCAAGCTCCAGGGCCACCCCCTTTGCTCCCGTGGGCCATCCCCAAGCCTCCGAGAGTACGCAAAACAGCAGCAGCTTCAATACAACAGCCCAAGCCAGCCGCAAGCGCTGCTGATCCCCTTGCATGTGCCGCCGCGGAGCTTGTGAAGCTCAAGACGCAGGGCTAGGCGCTTCTAGCGCAAGACAATTGCATGGGAGGCCTCTAGCGCTTGCGCAACTGCATGTGAGGTGTTAGAGGGTTGGTCCGGAAGCCACTCCTGGAGGCTACCGCAAAGCTCCCACAATACAGTGTGGCCCACACTCGGGTTCAGCTGCCTGCTGTCCCAGGAGATGAGCACAAGAGCAAAACCACGACAGGTTGGTTCTGAACAGTGCTAGTTTGCTCCAAGAGTTGCCGGCGGCGGCGCGCCGCACGCCAAGCTTGCGCCAAGTCGGCCGCGCATTTACGAGTGCCCCCCCTGGCAGCCTCAAGGCAAGCTTGGCCTTTGCATGTGCATGTGCACAGGCAGCACCCTGCCAGCGCTCACAGCTTGTGCCGAGCTGGAGCGCCGCCCGCAGCTGCTCAGTCCCGCCGGTTGTACAGCGGGCGCAGGTAGGCGGGGTGGTGCAGGGAGCGCACCTCGTGGCCCAGGCAGTACAGCAGCTGCCCGCGCTTGCCAAACGCATCCAGGTGGTGGACATCCTGCAGGCAGCAGGCAGCGGGCAGGCCAGCAGCGGCAGCAGCCATAGTGGGGCTTCCGCAGCCTCCCCGCAGGCGCGGAGCGCCGCGATCATCGTATGATACCGGCGCCCTCTGGCAGCCCCCAAGCGCCGCGCCCAGCACCAGCCGCGCCGCCTGCCTCCCCGCCCGCCGTGCCTCGCCTTGAAGCGGAACTGGCGGTTGGCCAGCGCTGCCGCCAGGTCGGGAGACTTGTCGCGGTAGCTGCGCAGCAGGCAGACAGCGGGACGGGGTTGGCTGTCGAAATGGGAATTCCCAGTTTGGGGGGGCTCGAGCAGCCCCGCAGGGAACTCCGACGCTGCAGCGAAGCGGCAGCCTCTAGGCCACCGTGGCTGCCGCTGATGCTGGCCATGCAGAGCAGCAGCGGCTGCCGGGCTCACGGGTGGTCCAGCTGATTGATGCCCAGCGCCAGTGTCTGGCGGAAAGCGGCGGAGAAGCGGGTGGTGTAGAATGCCACGTGCCAGCCGGTCCACAGCTCCTCCACCCCCTGCAGTACAGGGTGGAGAGGGGAAGGGGGCAGGGGGCAGGCATTGACACGAGGCGGGAGGGAGAGCCGGGGAGCAGGTACATGTGCCCAAGGCTGAGCGGTGGCGGCATGTGCCGAAAGCAGGGACCACCTGCGGAGTGAGCTCCCCCAGGGACGCATCCTCCTCGAAGCGCAGGCAGGTGCCGGGCCCCACGAGCACCCTGCTGCTCTCGCCGCCGCCGCCGCTGCCGCTGCACTCCACGACCCTGGCCCCCAGCTGCTCAGAGTAGAAGCGGGCGATGAAGTGAGCCGTGCCTGCAGCGCAGCCGGCGGGGCAAGCAAGGTGCAGCAAGCTGGAGCAACCAGGTGCAGCAAGCTGGAGCAACCAGGTGCAGCTTGCGGCTTGCCGCGACACGCAGCGGCTCCCGAAGCCGCCTCTCCGCTCACCCCTTGCCACACACCTGGGAAGCAGGGCAGGCGCAGCTCTACGATGCCGGCGGGGAAGGGGAAGCCGGGCGCCGACTCCACCAGCAGGAACAGCTGGCCCCACGGGTCGGCCGCTGTGATGCTGTCGCCGCGGCTGGCGGCCGGGGCGGCATCCCCCTGCCGCTCCTGCCCCGGCTCCTGCTGCTGCTGCTGCACTGAGAAGGAGAAGGCGGTGTCTTGCAGCACGGGGCGCAGTGCCGCCAGCCGCTCCGCGGCGCGCGCCAGGCTGGGCAGGCGCAGCACGATGGTGCCGCGCGTGTTCTGCGGCGCCGCTCCCTTGCAGATGTGCAGCTGCTGCCTCCCGAGGTTGTACCTGAGCGGCGGAGGAGCAGGAGCGGGGGCGCCGGGTTGGCGGCAGGCGCCGTGCGAGGGACATGAGGGCAGCAGCAATGCACGACGCATCAAGCGCTGCAGATCTTGGCTGGGATGCGCAGCAGGCGGACAGCAGCACAGCACAGCACAGCACAGCAGCACATGCAGAGAGGCGCAGCAGCTTGATGCTCCCACCACGTCACAAAGGGCCCGCCGCGCTGCCAGCCGAGCGTGTCGGGGTCGGCGGTCAGGCCCAGCCCCTCGGCGTAAAACACCCGCGCCAGGTCCAGGTCGGGGACCTGGTGCCAGGTGGGGGTGGGCAGGAAAGCGGCGGCCGAGGCGAGAGCTGCCGTGGGTTTGTGGTGGCTGAGGTTGGCGGCTGAGGTTGGGTCACCCACAGCTACTCCCATGCTGCGGCACTGTCCTGCCTGGGTTTCCTCTCACCTCTAGGTTCACGTGTTCCAGGTGCACCACGTCTCCCACATCCTGCTCAGCGCCGCCGCCCGCGGCGTCACGGGAGCTCATCGCCGCCGCCGCCGGTGTCGGCGCCCTGGCTGCTGCCGCGCCGCCGCCGGCACCTCTCGCTGCAGTACTTGACCTCGCCCCACACCTGCCGGGCGGGAACGCAGGCACACCGCAGCAACACAGACCCAAGAGTTGGCTTTAAAATATCCCCAGCCGGTGGCTTCACAGGCGGCGCCTGCCCGCCGCTCACCGCCGCCCACTTCTTTCTCCAGTGGAACGGCCGGTTGCACACCGGGCAGACTTTGAAGTCGGCCTTGCCGTGAGTTGGCTGGGCCTTGGCCGCGCTGCGGTTGCTGCCTTTGGCGGCCAGACACTGCAGGGGTTTGCGCACTCCAGCGGCGCAGGCATAGCGGGGCAGGAGCATTGGCGACCTGCCGAGTTTGTGGCGCAATTGAGCGCACCGTCGGGAGTTTGGTTGGCAAGCGCTGACGTGGCGCCGCCGCTGGCGCTCGATCCTTGTATTTGTAATAAGTTCATTCAACCAGCCTGGTGCTGCAAGGCTGAGTCTGATCAAGGTGGTTGCCACACAGATGCTGCACAGGGCATTGGTTTGCAGGAAAGCCCTATAGAGTGTCTCTTTCTCGCCGCGTGTACCTCATGCCGCAGTACCCCTGGAAGCTGGAGGAGCATGTGCTGTTTCTCACAAGGTCACAAGTGGCATTGGATTGTTGCAGCTTTCAGGATCCAACATGCACCATCTCAAAATTGCTCGTTCGAAGACCCCTGGCACCTGCCCCGAAAGGGCCCCTACTGCCCACCCTAGTGCCACCTCTCCTTCCCTCCAAATCCAAAAGCCCCAAACGCTGCCACTTGGATGCCTGCTCCAGCCGAGGCACTGCTCCCTCAGTCCAGGCAGGGTCTGCCCGTTTCTGGCGTCCAGGCCAGGCTAGAGCCCCTGACGAATGCAGGGCGACAACGCCCCAGGAGGCCCGTTTGAGCCGCCTGCCGCCGGCGCAGGGGCCGCCGGCACACCCACTGCCCCAGCCGCCACCGTGCGGCCCTCCGCCGCCGCGCCCTGCGCCCCGCTGGTGCCCATGGCTCGCTCCGAGACCCTGACCCCTCTACTGCCCTGCGGCCTGACTGAGAAGGAGCTCTCTGAGCTGGCCTGCATGGCAGCCGCGGCAGACAGCCGCCGGGGCAGCAGGGTCGGCCCAGAGGATGGTGGCGCGGGTACGCATCGCGTCGCTGGCTTGTGGCCTGCTCCTGCCGTCCTTTCCGCGCTCCACTGTGCTTAGCTGAGGCTTAACCCCAACTGACGCGGGTGCCTAGGCTTGCCGCTGCGCTTGTTGCAGGTTTGCCAGCATCCGCCTCTGCTTGCAGCCCCGTAGCCTCCCCTGGCACTCCCGCCAGCCCCGGCCGCGGTGCCGCAGCACGCTCCGAGGGCCACGGCACCCGCCTCAGCTTTGAGCGCATCAACCGAGTGGCGGCGGCAGTGGCGGCCGAGAAGGCTCGCCGCCGCTCGCTGGAGCAGCAACGCCGGCGGGAGCGGCCGCGCAGCCAGGGCCAGCTGGCGCGCCAGCCGGAGCCGCGCCGCAGGCAGGCGGCGCCGTCCCACCCGCTGCTGCAGCTGGGCAGGCAGCGCTCGCTGTCGGAGGGGCAACTCGATGCGATGCTGGGCCCGCCCACCCCCCGCGGCTCTGTAGAGGCGGTCACGGCGGCGCAGCGCCTGGCAGCCATCTCTCCAGACCCCAGCACACTGTCCCTGGCCGCCCCAGACACCCCCAGGGCCGCCGAGCCGACGCTGCAGGGCAAGCGCCCGACGGCGGCGGGCTACGGCGCCCCCAGGCCCGTCCGCCGCTCCGCGCCGCCGCACACCGACGCCGCCTGGCGCCTGCAGCTGCGGCAGCAGGCCGGCGCGGCCGCCGCGGAGGGCGGCACCCCGCCTGGCAGCCCCTTTGGGCTGCGTGGCAGGCGCCGCGACCCCGACCCGCTCCTGCCAGACCTGCCTGGCGGCAGCAAGGCAGAGGCAGTAACCAGCTGGCTGCAGCGCAGCAGCAGCGAGCACAGCGAATTCGGCGACGAGCCGCCGACCGCAGAGGCCCGCCCGCAAGCCGGCCCACCGCGCCTGCCGCTAGCAGGCGTGCCGGCGGCCGCCGCCGAGCACCCAGCCTTCCCTTCCGACCCGGGCTACGGAGGCTACTCGGCTGGGCCAGCGGGCGCCGCTGCCAGCGCCGCGGGCCGCCCCTCCAGCTTCCCCCTGGATGATGGCAGGCGCACGGCGGCGGCTCCCAATGCCATGATGCTGCGCCTCGCCAGCGAGCCTCACGGGCAGGCTGGGCAGCCGCAGCCGCAGCAGGAGCAGGAGCAGGAGGCGGAGACGCCGCGCCGAAGGAAGGGGCTGCTGGCATCTTTCAACCGCCTGCTGCGCATCTGAATGCGGCAGCCAAGCTCAAGCGGGTGCCCCTTGCATGACGGCCGGCTCCTCTGCCGGTACCCAAAATTTTCCCCAGCCAGTTGTTCTCTTCCACACACACAATTTTCCCTGGAGACGCAAGTTTTCCTCTCACCCCAGCCCCCCTCCAAGCCCCCCACCCACCCAGGTCTCTGCTGTCAGGTGCTTAGCCCCTGCCTCCCGGTGCCGTGTGTACCATCGTGCCCCGCTTGTGCACAGCACTCGTGATCTCCCTCCCGCCGCATCACACCGTAACTTGAATGCTGAAAGTGTTTTGACGTCTGGCTCTGCATGCTCTCTTTTAAACTGTTTATCAGCGAATGGATCCCTTGCGATAGCTCCCCCAAATGAACCCTTGTCGTGATTAGCGCTGCCATGGCATGTAACCCGAGCAGAAGCTCAACCGGGTTCCACGCTGGAGCGGCGGCGGGAGGCGGTCGAGGAAGAGGGTAACACTCAACGAGGGGGACCAATTGAAGGGAGGGAAGAGCGACTTGAGCATGGGAGCAGGCCTGCTGCCCTTACAGGGGCTGGCTTTCAGGCGGGTGCAAGAAGGCTGAAGCCGCCGACCGCAGGACAACTTTCCACCAGCTGCCTTTTCGTCATCCCCCACTGGGGGCTGCCCAATTCGTCTCCCTGGCGTGTGTTTTGGGCCTGCAGCCTCCCCAAGTGGGCGCGGGGAGCCCAAGGGAAAAAGTGCACCTGCGTCAACCCCTCCCCTTCCCCTGCCTTCTCACAACCACCTCCAGGCAGCCATGGCTGCCAGGGAGGCCCCCATCAGCGCCAGCTTCCACTGGAGGCCTGGCCTGCGGTGTGAAACGAGTGGCGAGCCCATCATGCCCTGCGGCCTCACAGCCTCTGAACTCGAGGACCTGACGGCAGGCATGGAGCAGCAGCGCCTGGCACAGCAGCAGCAGGACGACGGGCGGCGACCGCCGCCGCTGGTGTCGGTCTGTGCGGCGCGTGCGGCTGGTGCTGCGGCGCAGGAGGGAGAGCAGCAGACGCCAGGTGAGCCTGCTCTTTGGTAGTCCAAGGCTGCCAGCTTGACCTTCTGCATCAAGCTTGGCCGGCCCCTTGTTCAATCAATGCCGCGGCTCGGCAGCCCACAGCAGCCTGTGCAGGCAGGCAACTGAAGGCGCGGCAGCCGTTCACCGCACGCTCACCACCCCCTCCTGACCCGGGCCTCCACCCTGCCTGCCCGGCCGTTGTGCAGAGGCCCAAGCCCAGAACCCAGCCACCCCCGTCATTGCAGACAGGAAGAGCGACGACCGCAAGACGGCCGGCGAGGCGGCAGGCACTGGCGACTCTGCGGCCAGCCTGCTGGGCAGCCACCACACCGCCTTTAGCACCCCAGGCGGCACCGTCGCGCGCAGCAGCCACAGCGCCGTGCAGCTGGGCAGCCGCAGCGTCCCGGCGCTCGCCGGCGGGCTCAGCGAGGGCGGCGCCAGCTCAGCGAACCACGCTGGCAGCAGCGCGGACGTGTTTGCCACCGTGAACCGCGTGGCGGCGGTGGCTGGCAGCGAGTACGTCAAGCTGCGGTCTGGCAGCTCGAGGCGGCGGTCTGTGGAGCGGCGCCGCTCGGGCGACCGCCGCCGCGCTGAGGCGCGGCACCAGCTCCCCGCCAGCGGCGGCGGCGCGCTGTTCCAGCCCACCTACCTGGCGCAGCTGCGGCAGCATGCGCAGGGCCAGCGCGCGCGGCAGCTGCGGCAGGCAGCCGTCATGGCGGCGCAGCTGCTGGGCGAGTCGCAGGCGGCGGCTGAGGCGGCTGCGGCTGCCCAGGCTGGCGTCCCTGGCGGCAACGTGGCCGCCTGGCTGGCGACCTCTGCTGCAGCGCCGGCCACGGGGCCCGACACAGCAGGCCAGCAGCCTCCCTCGCCCCCCTGCCATCGCCGCAGCTCGGCTGAAGCCCTGGCCGCCGCCAACCCGGCTGCGTTCTGGCCTCCGGCACCGCCGGCGCCGTTGTCGCCGCCAGCTGCTGGGGAGCCTTGGCCGCAGCTGCCACAGCTGCCGCTCGTGGAGCCAGCACTCCAGCTGCATGACTCAGCTGACAGCTACTCCTCTCCTGCCCCGCCAGCCGCCCGTCGCATGGGCCCCAGCTGCACTGCCGCTGGGGCTGCGCCGGCAGCCTGTCCCAGCAAGCAGAAGCATGGCGAGTGCGGCGGCGGCGCGTCCAAGGAGGGCAAGGCCAGGGAGGCTTGCTGGCACCGCTTCAACCCCGTCGCGGCGCTGTCGCGCCTGCTGCGCTTCTGAGCCACACGCAGGCCGGTCGCTGCTGCGCCCGCAGCCAGGCAGCCGAGCGCTCTGAATTCTGCGACAGGCTGTCATTATGAAACGGAATGATCCCCACCCCACATTGGGGCCCACATGACTAGCACTTCAAGAGATTGTTTCCTCGTCTGTTCCCCGCCCTCCCGCTCGGCACAATTTCCCCAGCCCTGTGCTGACACCTCTGGCTGAGACCAGTCCCCCAGAGGCGCCTGCATGTTTTTCGTCCTTCGCATGCATTGTTGATGGTCCCCTTGATGGGCCCCTTGAGCAGCGTGTCCCCTCCCGCTGCACCCATCGCCGTGACACCACGTCACGTCATGCCCGATGCAGTTCCTTGTGGCTGCTGCCAGCAGCGCCGCCGCTGGCAGTTTGGCTGCCGTGAATGAATCCTCAGATCCGTTTCCTTGCTAATAGGCTTGCATGCCCTGCATCCTGCATGAATCCCTACATGAATCCCTGCATAAATCCCCTGCTACTTCACGTTTCCGATGGGATCTGTCACAAGTAGCGTTCTTCGCATCTGCTTCCCAAATGACTTGTCTACCCAGTAGCGCTCTTCCCATCCAGGCAGCCCACTCCATGCATGCAGCGACCCCTGCAGCACCCACCAGCCCACTCCCGCTCTTTGGCACAGCCAGCGCTGGCTGCCCCCGTTGCAAGTAGACCCGCTCTGTAGCGCGTCACCAACTCAATCACATGTCATGTAAACAAGTTCCGCAACAAAGAGCCATCCTGGTCCGCAAAAAAAGAGCCATTCTGGGATGCAGCAAGGCATGCAACATTACGCGCATCACAGCATGCAATAAATAAGGTGTGCACCACATTACAGGAGGTAGGGCGCCAGGGGCTTGACTGTGTAGGAGCTGATGCTGTCCAGCAGCCAGCGGCGGCTCACCACCGGCACCCCCGCCTCCGCCGCCTTTTGGTACCACTTGGCAGCCGCCAGCGCCGGCGGTACCACTTTCGGCACCGCCGCTGCAGACGCCGCGCCGCCCTGCTGCCCCGCTGGCCCCGCCGCCGCAGCCGCCTGCTGCTGGTGGGGGCTGCCGCCGGCGTCGGGAGCCTCGCAGAGCAGGAAGCTGGTGCAGGGCCCGCCGCGGGCGGCGCTGTGGGTGGCTGTCGGCGGGCGCGACAGCCGCTTTGCGCCCGCCGCCTGCAGCAGCTCGGCAACCTCACCACCATTGGCAAACTCGCCTGCAGTGGGCGGAAAGGGCGGGCAGTGCAAGCGTGTGGATGTGTGATGCGTCCAGTGTGACGTGCGCTGATCACGGCTGGATGGGAGCGAGACTCGGCGCCCCACACGCCTGCACAGGCATACGACGCCAGGCACGGCCCGGTGGCGGCGCAGTGGGGCAGTACACCTACCTGCGAGGTACACCTCGTACCCGCGCAGCAGCGGCGGCAGGCCCAGGCCCGCGCTGGCCCGCGCCGCCGCCGCGCCGCCCTCGCACCCGGCGTGGTCCCGCGCCACCTGCGCCACAGGCGGCCCAAGGCACACGGCAGCAGGATCGGAGCACAGCTGCCGCGGAGCTCGATGTCGTGCATGAAAAGGTGGCACCCAAACCGACTGTGCCGCCCTCAACTCCCGCTGCCACCTCTCGCCAGCCAACACAGGGCACCTGCCCTCCTGCCTGCCTCCCCCACATCCCATGCCCGTGCCCTCCTTGTTTTTGTTTTGTGTTTGTCCATGCTCCCTCACCATGAAGGGCTCCTCCTCTGCGGGCCCGCCCCGCTGCAGGCAGGCCGCCAGCCAGCCCTCGTGCACCACCGCCTTGGCCCCCGCCACGCCCCGCAGGAACTTGAAGGTGCGCCTGCGGGAGGGAGGGAGGTGGGAGCATGTGTGTGAGTGTGTGTGTGGAGGGGTGGTGATGGGCGTGGAATGTGCGGTGAGGAGCGGGGGCGCACTGATGAGCAGCAAAAAGGGTGGATCAGGGCTGGAAGCTACCTGCAAACGGTGCTTTGCAGCCCGCTCCCCGGCACATGCACATGCCAGCACGGCGACGTGCGGGCCTGCAGCAGCAGCTTGTGTGCAGCAGCAGCAGCGGCAGCGGCAGCGCGCCCACCTGGCCGCCCCCTCCGCCGTGCCGCACACCACATGGGTCACGCCGCCGCTCCACTCCTTTGCCACCGCCGCCCCGGAGGCCGCCGCCAGCTGCTGCAGCTGCTGCCGCCCCGCGGCCGACAGCGACGAGCTCAGCAGCAGCCAGCGAGAGCTGGCGCTGCGGTCGCTCCAGCAGCCGCCGCCGGCCTCGGCCGCGGCTGCTGGCGACGGCGCCGGGGAGGGCGAGGCCGCCGCGGCAGGGGAGGGCGCAGCGGGCGCAGGCGCCGGCTCAGCAGCCGCAGTGGCCGCTGCTGCTGCTGCTGCGGAGGGTGCGGCGACCTTGCGTCGTTTGCCGCTGCCGCCGCCGCCGCCGCCGCCGCCGCTCATCTTGCGCTGGCGCTGCTGCCGCCCGGCGGCCTGCCCGGCTGCTGCCGCTGCCGCCTCCGTGGCCGCTGCCTCTGCTGCAGCTGCCTCACCTGCCTCGCCGGCTGGGGAGGCCACATCCTGCAAGCGCTGCGCTGCGGCCGCGGCCGGCGTGGCGCCAGCTAGGACCGCCAGCTCAGCGCCTGCCAGCACTTTCTTCTTCAGCCCGCACATCTCACACTTGTGAGCGGCGCCCAGGTTGCCGTAGGTGCAGTGGGCACAGTTCCAAGGCAGCAGGCGGGCCGGGATGCGGCGACGCGAGCTGCCCTCTGCACCGCCACCGCCGCCGGTGCTGGCCACCCAAGCCGCGGCACCGGCTGCTGCCGCGGCCGGCGTGGCCCCATCCGCTGCTGCTGCCGCGCTGGGGGCAACCGCTGGCGCAGACTTGCGCCGGGCGGCGGCGGCAGAGGCGGGGCCGCTCGCCGCAGCGGCCTTCTTGCCGCGCTTGCCGCTGGCGGCGGTGCCGGCGCCGCCGTCCTCGTCGCCGGCGGCTGCCTGAGCGGCATCGACAGCACCAGAGGCGCGCTTGCGCCCGGAGGCAGCGCTTCGGGCGCCGCCCTTGGCCCTGCCTGGTGCGGGCGCGGGCCGCACAACTGTTGGCTGGCCAGCGGCGACAGCTGCCTCCTCCTGCACAGTCACCCTGTCGGTCGCCGGGGCGGCCGCCTGCGCCGCCTGCGCCGGCGTCAGCTGCCCGGCGCCGCTGGCGGCCTGGCTGCTGTGGGCGGGGGCTGCGGCAGCCGCCACGGCGGCAGCGGTGGCAGCAATGTCGTCAGCAAGGCCTCGCAGATCAGAAGACACGCCAGGAGCTGAGACAGCTGCCTCCCTACCATACCCATCTGCCTCCTCGTGGCCGCCTGCAGCCCTGCCCGGCGCCTTCCGATGCTCCTTGCCACGCTGCAGGCTGCCGCCAGCCTCGGCGGCACCTTGCGCGGCAGCGGCGGCAGCCGGCTGCCTGCCCTGCTGCTTGTCCCGCGCCTGGCTTCCCTGCTGCGCGGGCGGCAGCCATTCCGTGATTGCCTGGTTGCCTTCCGCCCGCCGCTGGCGCTGCGCTGCCGCCGTCTTGGGGGCGCGCTGCTGCCAGCCGCCGCTGCGGCCGGTCGCGGGCTGCTCCTGCTGCCGGCCGCCGTTCTCCTTGCCTGCGGTCGCTGCGTGAGCGCCAGCGCCAGCACCAGCAGCCTCTGCCTCCTCCTGCTCCTGCTCCTGCCCCTCTTCCTCGCCCTGAGCTGGCTTGGTGCGCACGCTGTGAAGCGACAGCCGCCGCGCATCGGCCGCCGCCGCCGCCGCCGGCTGCCGCCGCTGGTGGCCGGAGGCGGCGAAACTGACGCTGGGGGAGCGATACTCTACAGAACAGTGTGGCGTATGTGTGTGAGAGAAGGTGCGTGTGAGAGAGAGAAGCTGTATGGTGTGTGTTTATGTATTTGTGTGGCGAGGCAAGGGCAGCGTGCCACAGGCAGGCAAGGGCAGGCTGGCGCAGAGGCGAGGCACACGCACCCTCATTGTCGACTCCCGCCAGCCAGCAGATGCCGCCCGCAGCAGGCGGCCTGCACCAGGGGACAGGCATGCAGCTTGATGGCACAGCAGTCGGAAGCGGCAAGTGTTTGGAAAACAGCAGCGGCTGGGCTGGGCAAGGCAGCACAGCAGTGGGCCGCTTCGGCGGCCTTGCCTGGTGGTTGTGTCTGGCGACTGGCCATCGGCAGCCTCCTCCCCCTCCCCCTCCTGCTGCTGCAGCTGCTGCTGCTGCCGATGCCCGCTGCCAGCGCTGCCCATTGCCGGCGACTGCCCGCCGTCCAGGCTGTCCCGAGCCGTCTCAAACAGGGTCAGGCTCCTCTCCTGCTGCTGCTGCTGCGGCTGGTGCCGCATGTGCGGCTGCGGGCTGCCGGCCCCTGCCTCCGCCTCCTCAACTGGTGCCACGTCAGCGTCTTCCCCAGCTGGCGCCACCTCAGCGTCCATGTCGTCGTCCTCGTCGTCGCTGCTGCTCGGAATCAGCTCCTCTTTGTGAGCGTCCAGGTCAGCAAATGCCTGCGCCACAGGCATCACAGGCACCACAGGCACGCATGCGTGGCATCCGACCCAATAGAGCATACCCAAATACAGCGTCCATCCAAATAGATCATGTAACCATGGCCAAGCACCATACATGCACCCGCTGGCCAGGGCACGCCACCTACCAGCACCACCCTGTCCATCGTGTCGTCGCTGCTGATGTCCCGCCGCCCCACCTTGCACTTGCACACCGGGCACTGCGCCTTGTGGCGCACCGACTGCTGGATGCAGCCCCTGCGGCAGCGCACGCAGCCCATGCAGCTTTCAGAGAGGGGAGGGGGTGCACTGCGGGATGACCAGCAGCAGGGCCCGCTGAGGTAGGCGAGCCCAGGTGGCGACAGATGTCGGCAATCGGCGACAGAGAGAGAGAGCGGGGAGGCTGGTGTTTTATTCTGCGCTTTGCAGGCAGCAGCGATGCAGCTGTACAGCGGGCTGAAGCAATGCATGTCGGCGGCCGCGGCCACAGAGGGATGGCAGGGGCGCTGCCCGGCAGGGTGCTGCCTGGCGGCTCACATGCAGAAGTAGTGGCAGCAGGGGAGGCGGGCCACGGGCGGCGACATGACGCACAGGCTGCAGCAACAAAGGGGGTGTGGGTGTGGGCATGGACATCAGCTGGCCGCAAAGTCAAACCACAGCTGAGGGTTCTTGGGGGCGCAAGACCAGCAGCGCCGAGCAAGCAGTGCAGGCGGGGGCGGAGGCGGCGCCAAGTCCAGGCGACACGCCCCCCGCACCAGATGGAGCAGCTCAGCTCCCGCGCCAGCGTCTCAAAGAGCTCAGCCATCCTGCAACCCCGGGCCCACGCGCAGGCTCGCTCAACCAAACTCAAAACGCGTGTGCCGCGGGGGAGGGTGCAGAGTTGTCCTCGAACGTTGTACAATGTGATACGGCAATCTGTTAATCTCACAAAGCGGTCCAGCAGCCTGTTCAGCCGATTCCAGCGGAGGCAAACAACGCAGCAGGCATAGCGTGGCGGCGACCATTCTTCTTCTCCTGACGTCTGTTTTGCACCACTGACCCATAGGATGTCTCATGTGAGTGTATCGTTGGCGCTCACCAGAATGCAAGGCTGCAGGCGCAGCTGGCCGCCTCGCCGCGCCGGCAAACCTTGCCGATACTCGGCCCAGTTGCAGGCGCATGCGCTGCAGCGCCGTCATCAACTGCCGAGGATTGCATGTATCTCATACACAAGGGAAGTTAGACGATGTCATGAAAGTTCCAAGCCGAGGCAGTAAATGGCTAGAACTGCAAGCGGGCGTGAGCAAGGAGCGGGCGGCAGCTAAGGAGCAAAAGCACGCCCCAAAGTGTGGCATTCGCCTGCCAAGGGGGATGGATGAACTTCAGGCGATGGCGCATAATGCGCTGGTGCCTGGTATGGAATCTGAAATCAATTCCGGGAAAAGGGAGCAAACTATTTTTGCCCGCAGTTGGGCGCATTCGTTAGAAAAACGTAATGCGGCGGCAGCTGGCCGCTCCCTGTTCTAGGGAGACGGGCCCAGTGCGGCTGGCATGTCTTGGAATCATTTGAAAAACGTACAGGGAAAAACGTACAGGGAGGAACGAAATGCAGCTGGGAGAACTCCAGGTGGGATGGGAGGCGCTGCGACTTGGTAGAGGCTTTGCTCCAGAGGGCGGAACGTGTTGGTCCCGCATGCATGTTATCGAGCTCAAAAAGCCAAGGCCGTGAGGCCATCATTTGGAATGAATAGGTGAAGGGAGTCGGATGGATGAGTTGGTGAGTGTTCAAGTCTTGAAAGCAAATGGAGGTTGAATGGCGGCTGACGAGGTTCTTGACACGTGACAGAGCTTGAGGGATGAAGCTGCCGCACGTGGGGTGCGTTTCAGAACGCACCGCTGCAGCGAGCTTGAGGGAACATGTGCCGAGCAATGACGGCTAGAAACTTTAAGACTTGATAGTGAAAACCACAGTACGCAGAAGGCAGTGCGGTAAGGCTTGATGTGATGATGACTGAGGTGCCGCGGGTCATGCCTGGGCCAGCATTGCCTGGAGGGATGCCAGGATGGCCGGGAAGGCTGGGCGGGCTGCCGCCTGCGGGTGGGTGCATGCGCTGACCAGCTCCTGCAGCAGCCGGCGGGAGTGCCACCGTGGCGGGAACGCAGCTTCACACATCTGGCAAAAGCGCCGCGTGACCCCGCCGTGGCCTATTGCATGGCTACACTTCACATCCATCCCATCCTGGAGTCCCACCCAGCCCACAAGCTGCTCAGCAGGCTGCAGGATGCTGATCAGTGTCGCACCTGGAAGGCCGGCGGGCACCCTGCCAGCAAGGGCAGGGCGGGGCGCTGCCGCACGAGGTCTCGCATCACCTGCGCCGGCCGCAGCCCCCAGGCAGGCTGGCCGGCATACATCTGCGCAGCGGGTGGGCGCAGGGTGGGAGGAACGATGTGTGCAAGTGCTAGCCGCCCACTGTGTGTGTCTCGACAGCCCTGAGGGCAGACTGGTGGCAGCAGGCAGGAGCAGGGTGTGGCTGCCATCGAATGCAAGATGCGAGCGGGTGGCAGTGGCTGAACGGTGAGCGCTGCAAGGGAGGGCCAGGCCGCTGTTTGGGCCTGCTGCTGCGGGGCCGCCCATGGACTCACCTCCCACAGCAGCACCCCCAGGCTGTAGGCATCGGAGGCGGGGGAGGGGGCCTCCCCAGCCAGGGCCACCTCTGGGGCGGTGGTGGCAAGCATGTCCATGCGGGGTGTGTCCCCGCAGCTGCGCCGCGCCGCCTGGCAGGCCAGGTAGCTGGTGCTGCTGATCTGCAGGGCCGGCAGCCCGGGAGGGGGTGAGCGGCAGGCTCAAATACAGGCAGAGCGTGTCGTGCATGCAGTGACCAGTCACGATTACTGTGTCGCCGATTGGGCCGCTACGAGAGCGGCAGGGCGCTCCCTGGCTGGCAGAACTTGACACCAAGAGGAGATATCCACGCCAGCCGGAGCTGCCCCACACCTTAGCCGCGAAGCCGCGGGCGTCGTCGGGCGCGCTGCACAGCAGCACGCTGGCGCTGGACAGCTGGCCGTGCGCCAGGTGGTGGGTGTGCAGGTGATGCAGGCCGGAGGCCACCTCCTGCGGCAAGCAGGGGGCAGGGCACGCTGCTCTGCTCAGCACAGCATCCAGTAGCCCCCTTGCCTCCCAGCTGCAGTAAGCCGCACAAGCTAGCTGCCTCACTGCGGCCACCAGGCCACTCACGTGCGCCGTGTGTAGGATGGCGGGCAGGCGGGGAGGCTGCCGCTGCAGCCGCGCCAGCCGCAGGGCCGCATCCAGGCTGCCCAAGTCGCTCCGCTCGGAGACGGTCCAGACCAGCAGCTGCCGGCCGCGAGAGCTGGCGCCCTGGCAGTGCCGCGCCCACACGCCATCGGAGCCACCGTGCAGGCTGCCCTCGCAGCACTGGCCCTCACCCCAGCCTGAGCTGGTGTCCCACTCGACGGCGCAGAAGTGAACGCGGGCGAGGCTTGGGTGCTCCAGGCGCGGGCTGCACATGACGTGCCTCACAGCGTGCAGCAGCCGCACTGCTGCCAGGCCGTCTGGCAGCGCGTGGTCGGTTGCCTGCGCCAGCACAGCGCAGCAGGGCACAGCAGGGGTCAGCAGCGCGAGAGGAGTGCCCGGCATGGCAGGGTGGTGCACGTAGGCGCATCGCTGCAACCAGCCCAACTGGCGCCAGGGGGATTGAATCCTTACCGTGACCGCCACAGCCTGGTTGCGCCACGTGCCGCCATAGATCAGGGTGCGTGCGCAGCGCCCAATGACGCCGCCCAGCTGCACCTCCCCCATCGTAGCTGCGACATCCTGCAGCATCCCAGGCAGAGCAGCGGCACGCGGCGCAACTCAGCGGCAGCAGTGGTGCTTGGAGCAGCAGTGCACTCAGCAGCAGCAGCAGCAACGGCAACGGCAGCGATCGGCATCTCTGGTAGGGAGGAGGTGGGCATTTCTGGCAGCGTGGTGGCGGCGGCAGGAGGACCAGGACCAGGCGGTCGCACCTCTGGCTCAGAAACAAATCGCTGCCCCTGCAACGCATCATCGGCACTGGTGGCGGAGAACCCGGCCTCGACATGCCAGGCGCTGCTGTCGCTGAAGGCGGTCAGCGCCAGGGCGTCGTCCTGCTGGATCAGGCCGTCCTGGCTGAGCGGGCTGAAGCCGTCCTCGCTGAGCGGGCTGCAGCACAAGTCCTCGAGTGTGCTCCCGTCGTAGCAGCTGTCGAGCGACAGCCGCCCCGGCTGCTGCATCAGAGCGCTGCGCACAGCCTTGCCGTCCTCGCGCTGCTTGCTGCTGGGGCGGCAGGAGTCGGAGGAGGGGCGGGCGCCCATCGTATCGTCTGCAGCAGTGCCCGCCGGATGCCGCCAGCGTGCGGCGCCGCGCTTGCCGCCGGCGAGTGCATCCTTGCGCTCGGAGGCCTGCGCTGGCCCCACAGCCCAGCGCTGCCCCACATCAGCTTGCCAGATCTCCACTTCCTGCGATGAAACAGCAATGAGCTGCCGTTTCTTGCTGGGGGGGAACAGGCGTTTGGAGATGGCAGAGCTGGCCAGCAAATGTTCTCCCTAGCGGTGCTAGACCGGCCCGCTATGCTCAGAAAATGCTGATGAGCGGGACGGGTGGCGGAGGGGCAGCGGGATGTGCCAACCGGAGCCAATCACAGGACGCAAAGTCCTCAACAGGGCGTTCAGGCTTGCCTGAGGCTGCTCAATTGCTGTTTTGCTGGCGCAGTCGCCCATTGCAGCTCGAAGGAGCGCCTCAGCCTGTCAGGATGTGCGGCAATTGCAATGGGTCACACCGCACAGTGCAGTGGGGCTCCCAGACACAGCGAAGCGAGGAGAAGTGGTGACGGGAGACATGCATACTACTGTCAGCTAGTCGACAGTGGTGCACTTCTGCGCCTTCACGCCATCATGTGCACGTTGCTGAGTACCACTTGGCTGCCAGGGGACTGAAGGCCCAGGCTTACTGCCGGCTGCCCATTTGTCAGCCTGTTTGCCGCCATGAGTGCCAGAGGCGATGGGAGGCTGCCAGGATGTGTCCTGTGAGGTGAGGCTGAGGGCAGGACGGCACGAGGCTGGAGCCGCCGCCGGCACCCACCTCCCAGCTTACCAGGCATTCATTGGCTAACCGGGCGCCTGGTGTGCAACAAATCATGTATTAGCAAGTAGTGTTGAACCTTGCAGGCGCATGGTGGGGTGGGGTGACAGGTCTTCCGGGCACAAGATGGGCCCGCGGCCGCCTCGACGCGGCCGCTCCCCTCCCACCTCGTGGGCTGCAGGAACGGTTGACTGCACACTCGGACCGCCCCGTATTGATCATGCTGCGTATGAAGAGGCATGGCAGGCATGGCGACAAATACAGCATGTAAACATGAAGCCGCACAAAGGGCGCAAGTTGGCGCCGCCACACAACTGGCTTGGCATGCTGTGCTGTCAGCCCTGCCATAACTGTGCTCTTCGTTCAGATCGCCTGTGCCTGTTGGTTATTACAGCCTGCGACGGTGCTGCGGCATAGAGAGAGCCTGATAGGCGACCGCCTGATCACCGCGCCTGAGGTGGTAGCCGTGGGCCTGGCTCACGGCGGGAGCAGCGCTGAGGGTCTTGCGGAGGCTAAGGCGTGAGATCCAGCCCCGCGAGGCCTCCCGACATGGAGGTCGAGATGGGCCAGCCGGCACAGCCCCAACAGGAGGAGGCCTTCGATCTTGAGGTGTGGGGGCGGGTCGTGGGCAATCCCCCGATGCCATGGCAGCACCGCGCCGGGCCAGCAGCACCCGCCACCCCGACCCGCCCGCCCACCCGGCTGCCTGGCCGCCACCCACCCTCCCCGCTGCCGCTCTGGCCGGATGCAGGCCTATGCCGCCAACTACTCTGGCCACGCACGCATCTCCCGCCTGCTCTTTGCCGCCGACCAGAGCGCGGGCAAGCCGCTGGAGCTGGAGGCGTTGAAGCTGGCGGCAGACGCGCTGAAGCGGGTGGGTGGCCGCCTTTTCGCCAGGGCGCGTGTTGTGCCTGCGCTTCTTGCCCTGCTGTCGGCTGCTTGTCGCATGAGCGCACCAGCATGAGCGTCATGCGCAGGGAACGTACAGCTATTTGGCAGCATGAGGCTCAGCATTGCGCCGACGGGGATCGGGGGGCGTGCCGGTTGGCGGGCAGGCGGCCCTGCCTGCGAGCTGGCTCCCTCGCCTGAGCCCGCTTTATGCCCCCCGCCCACTGTGCCCACGCCTGCGCCTGTCTGCTGCAGACTGACGATACCCAGCGGTACGCCGAGGTGATAGAGCGCATCGGTGGGAGGGCCGGCCCGCAGTACGCGCTGGACAGGTGCGCGGTACAGCTTGCGGCTGCTGCTGCCTTGGACATGCTGCCTTGACGGGCGGCCTGCGCGGGGCGCCACAAGCCGCAGCTCGTCAGGACTGTAGCATGGTGGTTCATCAGGACTAGCGTGTTAGCTCGTCTGTCGGAGCTGGTCGGCCGCACCCTCCCACCCCCCACTTCTGGTGCCACTCCCACCAAAAAAATGCAGCGAGTGGATAGAGCGAACGGAGCGGGCCTCGGAGCAGAAGCAAGACAGGCTGGAGTCGGGTGCGCAGCGGCGGTCGCCGCGCCTGCGCCGGCCCTGCCCGCCTGTCTCTGCGCCGTGTGCGCGGCCTGGCGGATGCTTGCCGCGGCATCGGCGCGCGTACCGTCACAATGCAACACCCGCTGCTCCCACTGCTGCAGAGCTGGGCGTTTACAAGAGCAACCTGATTAAGGAGAGCATCCGCATGGGGCACAACCAGCTGGGGGACTTCTTCTACTCCCGTGGCGACCTGCAGGCGAGACTGCGGGGCAGAGCAGGGGGTGGGGGTGGGCAGCGCAAGCTCAGTCGAGGGCAGGCCGCCACGCCACGCTTCCGTGATCCCTTCAGAGCAGCGCGTCTGTGCCCCAGCTGCCAGCCTTGGTTCCTGCCACGATTCCACCTCTGCCACGGCTCCAATCAAGCAGCAGTCATGCTGTGCTGCCCCTGCTCCCCTGCAGAGCGCCTTCAAGCACTACATGCGCACCCGGGACTACTGCACCACGGGGCGCCACATCATCCACATGTGCCTGCAGGGTGGGCAGGAGGGCGGGCAGCCCGCGCGTGCCGCCGCAGCGGCCTGTCGTGCGCCGCCAGAGGCGCATGCGCGGCCGCCGGCCAGGGGCTGGCCACTTCCCGCACTCTCCCCGGCCTCTTGCATCCCCACAACCCCTTGCCATCATTCACACCCCTCCGTTGCCTCGGCTCCTGCCCCGTCTCAACTTCTCCTCCTCCTGCCCTCCGGCCCCTGCCCTCCCTCATCTCCCCTCCCCTCCCTCAACCCCACCCCCCCACCCCTCCTTCTCTCTCCCTGCAGTGGTCAGGTGCAGCATCGAGCTGGGCAACTACATCCACCTGTCCAACTATGTGCAGAAGGCGGAGACGACGCCCGAGGCGCAGGTTGGGGGCTGTGCGTGCATGGCGGGCTCGCTCGCACCTCGATGCAAGTCCAGGCTGGCCCCACGCCCCCGCTGCCTCCATCACACCTCCCCTCTCACCCATGTGTTTTTCTCATGTAGAGCACACACCGCCGCCGCCAACCCTCTTTGCCCATGCCCTCGCCCTGCCGCTCTGCAGACCGACCCGATTGTGATGTCCAAGCTGGCGGCGGCCTCCGGGCTGTACTGCCTGGAACAGGGGCGGTACAAGGCGGCCGCCCTCAAGTTCACAGAGGCAACGCTGGCGGCGGCGGCGGGGCTGCAGCAGCAGGCAGCAAGCAACGCAGCGGCGGTGGCACCGCCAGGCCACCGGGGGTGGCGTTGACAGGCCAGCGCCGGCGCTCGCAGCCATCCCTGCCGCCACGGTTGTCTTAGGCCCTGCCTGCCTGCCCGCAGGTATCTCCTGACCTGGGCAGCACCTACAGGGACGTCATCGCGCCGCAGGCGAGAGCCGCGCCGCGCCCGCGCCGGCAGCCTGGCTTGCCTCCCCCCACACGTGCCATCCCCTGTTGCTCCCACCCTTACCGTCCCCTCTCGGCCCCGCCCTTACCATACTCTCCCGCCCCCTCCACCCCGCCCTCCCGCCAGGACGTCGCGGTCTACGGCGCGCTGTGCGGCATGGCAGCGCTGACCCGCGCTGAGCTGTCGGCCCGCCTCGTGCGCAACGTGGCGTTCCGGGAGCTGCTGGAGGCGGTGCCGGAGGTGGGCGGGTGGGGTGCAGGCGTGTGTGTGTAGGTGTGTGTGTGCGCGTGTGTGTGCGCGCCAGCAGGCAGCATGAAGGCACTGCGCCGATGACACGGTGGCGGGCGGGTGTGCATGTGTGGGTGCATGCGTGTGTGAGTTTGTGGGCGACGAGGCGGGGCCGAGGGCTGCCGTCGGGTGGCTGCATCGGCGGGATGCCGGCGCCTCCCAAGTGCCCGGCCTCCCGGCCGCCGCCGCCGCCGCCCTTCACGCCGCGCCCGACCGCTCCTGCCTGCCTGCCTGCCTGCCTGCCTGCCTGCCCACCTGCCCGCCTGCCCTGCAGGTGCGGGAGGCCCTGTCTGACTTCTACGCCTCCAACTACACCTCCTGCCTCAACCACCTGGACAGGATGAGGTGGGCAGGGCAGGGTGGTGAGGGAGTGTGTGGCTGGAGAGCGGGGGCGTGGTGCTGGCACGGCCTGGCGCCCCGTGGTCCCCTGGCGCTTCCGCTGCAGCGGCACCCCGACTCTCCCCGCTCCAGTCCACTCCCGGGGCCCGCCATTGCTGTGTGACGCGTGCTGCCTGCTCGCCCTCCTGCCTGCCCGCAGGCCCCAGCTGGCGCTGGACCCGCACCTGCACGACCACGTGGCCCCGCTGTACCAGGCGGTACGCAACAAGGCGCTCACGCAGGTGCGCGGGTGCCGCAGCCATGCACCGCGCAGGCTGCAGGCGCGGGCGCGGGCGCTTTGCAGGCGCCGGGGCTGGAGCTGCCGGGCGGCGGGTGGCCGGACGTGTGCGTCGCTGTCGCTGCTGGGGCTGCCGGTGTGCAGGGTGCTTCCTTTCTTGCGCCTGCCTGAAGCCGCTGCACCCCCTGCCGCACCCTCCCGTGCCCTCCTTGCTTGCAGTATGCCGCCCCCTTTGCTGCCCTGGACCTAAATGGCATGGCCGCTTTCTTCAACACCAGCGTGGGGTGAGCCCAGCTCCTGCCAAGTGGCCGGCCTTAACGGCTGCCTCCGTGTCGCTGTCTTTTGGCACGGTCTTGTCCATCTTTCCAGCTCGAGCCGCCGTTCCCCTGCCTGCCGTGCGGCCTCTGGCCCGGCCTGTGTGGCCTGTCCACCCAGCCGGCAAACCCTGTGCGCCTGTCCAGCCCCTGACCAGCGTGTCTCCTGCGGTCTGGCGGCCCGCCCCGCTGCAGCGGTCTAGAGAAGGAGCTGGCGGCGCTCATTGGCAGCCAGCAGATCAAGGCGCGCATCGACAGCCACGCCAAGGTGAGGCGGGGGGCCGGGACAGGCAGGGCTGCAGGGCAGCTGGCCGCAGGAGCGCGCTGGCCAGCTTCGCCCTGTCCTGCAGTCGTGGGCTGCCGCCGCCGAGCAACACTGCCGCCCCTCGTCCTGCTGCCCTCATCCCCTGGCACGGCGTACACGTGCTGTTGCGCTCCCTGGCTTGACGCGGCGCTCAGCTAGGCGCGTGGCTGCCTCCTCGCATCCCCCCCCCCACCCCCCACCACCACCACTTCCCCCCAGCTCCCCTCCTGCAGGTGCT